CATATCTAGTGCCTAAAATTTACTGATTGTTTTTCCTCATGTGGACAGCTCATTGCTTTTATTCTTCAGTGTCTAACCTAATTAAACCTCCCTTAATCGAATTGCGTCGACTGTTTCAGTGATGTGAATTGTTTGACTTTTCTGTAGCATGGCTTCTCCTCAGTCTCATTTTTCTTGCATAATGGAGAAGCGGAGGGTTTCTATGGCTTGGGTTTCTGTACCACACAGTAAGTAACTGTATTACAGCAAACCCCAAATGCTTTCGAGTCCAAGGCAACCTAAATACATGGTTGAGCCCATGTGCAAATCAGCCGCTCCTCTTCGTGGAGTGGCACCAATTAGCAGACATGTGATGAGGGAAGCAGACCCGTTAGTGCCGAACCCAAACAAAGGCTGAAGACAAAATCCACAAAACAGTGCTAACAACATACTGTGCGAGTTTCCCAATAGAAATCTCTTCATAGTCTCAAGAAGATCCCTCAATTATGGCTTGAATTTGCAAGTGGAAACAAAATAATGTTCTACTGAGAACGCTATCAGATATCTAGAGTTATTAGATGTTTGTCTTTATAATCCATGCATGTACCATCTTCTACTCTGTATGATTTGAGGAGAAGGGCACTTCAAATTTTCTTATTGTTCACAAGTGCTCAGAAAATAAAAACAAAATCTAACAAACTCTACAGTGCAGACATCTAAATGGACTGCTTCCTCTATTCTTCTATTGGATAATTAGGCACAACAATTTTCAAAAGAAAAGTACTTTTTCTAAATGTCAACTCAAAATCTACAACAAGACTATTAAAAGCAAAACACTATTACTGTTTACTCTCTAAACAAAATTTCACTGAATGAAAGCATAATAACTTTGCACTTGAATGATTTAAATCAAGCCAATCTTCAGTGGAGCTTTCAATCAGTAATATTTCAAAGCGTGAAGTTGTAACACATACCCACACCTATGAAAGCCCTTTCTGGAAGCCAGAACCACCCGCCCACTGTGCATGCTCCAAGTGGCAGCAGGTGCTGATTTCTGACCTGGATGGTCCCCAGGGATGCAAGGCTGTCTGTCACTTTGCTTGACAAAGCAGGAGAGAGCCTGGCAGTTGTCAGAAAGGATTTCTGTGAGCTCCCTAAAACTAAAAGGAAAGAGCAAACTCTTTTCATCTTCATCCAAGTGATGTCAGCTCAAAAAGCTGCCCAGAGACTGAGTAGGAACAAAAGATCATCTCATTTTGAAAGATACTGCTAATCGATACTAAATAATTCATTCTCTAGAGTGGCCTTGAATCAAAACTGAAAAGTCCATAGCTTTTACATTTAGAATTCTTGTTGGCTTTAGTCTGTCCTCTGGACTTCTTCCCCACTGAGTTCTGGTGTTCCATCTAGTGTGCTTTCCAATTGTTGATTTAAGAATCATTTGCATATTTGGGTGCTGGTCTTCTGTGAGTATGTGTTTTACAAATGTTTCTGTCAGAGTGCTGTTTGTTTTCCTCTTCCCGGCTCTCCTATGGACCCTGAAGTGCTGTGGTGACCTTGGTAAAAAGCCCGCTTCCTTCATCGGGATGCCTCTGCCTCTATGTGCCAGTCTCCCTGGCTTCTCCGTTTTTGCCCATTTCTCCCTGCCCTGGTCTTGCCCTGCATGGCGCTCTCTTATGTCTGTAGCTGTCTGACTGGTCCCTGCCTTTCACATCCGTAGCCTTGCAGGGAGCCTTGCAATCAGGTAATGTGCTCTGTGCCAGCATCACTTGCCTCACCAGGGTCTTCTGGCTTTTTATATAATAAAGAAGATAAGATTGTCAATATTTGTAAAGCTACCCACTGGTAGATTGGAATGCTTTGAATCTAGATTGGAATACCTTGAATCTATACACCAGGCTAGGAAGAACTGACATCTTAATATTAATAGAAAGTCTTTCAATTCATGAAGAGGGAAAATTTTCCCAGACATTCTTACTTTTTCTTGAAGTTGCTTTTTTTTTTTTTTTGGCCAATATGTTATTTATAACAGTACAGTTTAAATTACAGTCACTTAGGGCTTTTCTGCTTCATTTTGTTTTATGATCTAGAACATGGTTTATTTTGACTGCTTCCCATGTGCCTGAGAACAATGTGTTTTGTTATGATTGGGTTGGGTTGTCTCTGAATGCCATCTAGATCAAGTTATTGAAGAAGATTCAGTGGTTCAATTTTCAGACTCCAATTTCCTCTTTTTCTATAGAATAATAGCTTTGAAATTAGAAAGTTTAAGCACTACTTTAATATATCTAATGTACTATAATATATGTTTCTCTTACAGGGTAGAGCATATGTACAATAAAAGTAACAAAGAGTGTCTGTCTATACTTGGGTAGACAGAAAAATAAAGGACATCTAGTTCTATACTGATGACATGTCTGCACTTGCTGGAAAGCTACCAAGAAAGTCCTCTGTCTCTGAAGTGGAGGGCCCATGCAAGCTTCCTATCTCAACCATTGATGTAACCCTAAAAATCTACCAACATTTCTCTGTTAAGTATGCCCTCACAAATATCTGCTTGAAGTAGGAAAAAGTCATTTAATTGGAATGCTTTTCAGCACACATTGTTAACAATCATACATGGAGACAGGCTGTCACTATCTAAGTTTTGTGGAGAGGGTTTTTTTCACAGTGAATGGTTATCACATTAAGACACAACCATTTAGGCCTTCTGCCAACATCTTCGTAGAATCAGTTGCATGATTTCTATGCATTTTCCCCTAAAGCACAATGCCTTTCTAAATGATATTATTGGTTTCTGCTTATGCATTTTGAAAATGCCCTTTTTAATAACTGGAAAAGGGAATTTCACATCCTTATCCTGTAGTATTATATCTGAACTAGAAAATATTAACATCATTATGGAATATTTAGAGTTTCAAAATTATATGTGTATGTATTTTATAGAATTTAGGAATTTGATAATTTTTCTTATTTTGTCCTGTATATAAACTAAATTAGCTACCAAAAAATAGGAATTACCTGCCTTACAGAGCTTCTTTGATAACATCCTGATCTTCAGTCTTTCTTAAGCCTATTTTTTCGAGTGGTTCTGGGAGTGGAACCCGGGGACTCATGTGCATCTGAGAAAGCCTCTGTCGCGGAGCCACCTGCATTCAGCCCTGGCTTCTAAACCAGAATCTTTCCAATTGAGATCAAACATATCCTGACATCTGGCTTCTAACTTTGTCTATTTTCCTCTATCATGTACCTTATCAGAACAAAAAAGATCCTTTTCTACAAAACAAAACACCCAACCATGATCTGTGATAATTAAAAATAACCAAGAACATAATATTTCCAGTTACCAGCGGGAGTGATGACAGCCGTAGGGTGGGGCTTTCAGTGAAGGTGCACGCGTGGAGGGGAACGTGAGCAACACGGGAAGCCAGGTTTACCCCACTCTGCCAGCTGTGGCAGTGGCTAAGAGCTTGTCTCAAACGTCACCTTGCTGCTGTTTCTTTTTGCATTGTATGACATGATTGACTCGGCCTCTTTGTCCCCATCAAACTCAGACACCCTGAATGTACTCCCGAACTTCTGATTTCAGAAGGTGTCTGGTTCAATGTTTTACACATGGAGGGCTCCCAACCTGTCATTACCAAGCTGGGGTTTGTGACAGTTTCAAACTCTAGAGAGATCTGCTCCATGAACGGTGATGTATAAAGGAGAAACAAGCCAGCAAAGCAGTTTAGAAAAAGTTCGAGTTGTACAAACTCGGAATTCAGGTGGAAGCATTTCCGCAGAGCCCTTCCTGCCATGTGTTGCTTAGTGAAGGTGCTCAACTGTAGGAGCTTTGTAAATGTTTAATGGGGGGAAGGATAAAAGCAAGTGCCATTTAAAGCAATGAGCATAATCAGATTCTGAGGGTTGGGTTAATTGAATTTCCTCAGTGTATTAAAAAGAATCAGGACTGAGAAAATCAGGGGTTCAGTTCTCATTTAACTCATGTTTCATCCACAAGCCATTTACTCCCTGAAGTCACTTTCTTCCAAAGGCTATTTTTCAAAAGTGATGGAGGGAGAAAGCAGCCCCAGAGGTGATGTGTACCTATGCCAGGAGTTATGGAAAATAAAATGAAATGACACCACAAAGTAAATATAACAGAGGGGTTTTAACCACATTTGAGATGGGAAGGTGTGAGAAAATTGGCTAACTTAAGGCTATTTTTTAAAAATAGAGACTTCTATGTAAGACAGTGTAACTTAGCAAAATGCAAGAGTACATGTGATGGCCTGATTCTGTGATACGGCAACTGAGCATGGCAAAGCTGAGACCGACTAAGAGGTCAAGCACATTCTCTCTTGGATAAGTCCAGTAAACTTTATCAGGTGTGTATTTCTCATGTCCATGCAGCTATGTGTTTGCTCTAATTTTTATGTCCTAGCCATGGCAAACAAATGACAATATAATCTGAATTAACAAGAAACATTTTGCTGCAGGTAGATAATTGGGATTGAATGAGCTTGAGAAACCAAAACTTAAGTATCATAAAAGTACTCAAAAATACTAATGGGCAACAGAGACTTTCTGAAAACAGTTTACACATACACTTTATTTTGTGGTTGTATGCAAGTTAAAAGCTGAACTACACCCTAGAAGACAATTATTGTTGCAATCCATAATTCGAGCACATATGCATGTTCAGAGACTTGTGAGTGCTTCTAGCTATGGAATGACAAATGTAGAAATAATTGTGTGACTTTATTCATAGTGAAAAACAACATTTTTGATAAAAGGATCAAATAATCTCCATTCGTGGAATGAATGCATTTGCTTGAAAATATTCTACCATTTGTTCCTTTTTTGTTTGCTTCCTAATGAAGTTGCTTAAAGAATAGAAGCATATGGGCTAAAATCTAGACTGTGAATCAAATTTTAGTTGTGAATAGCACAGTGAGAGAATGCTGCATGGTTAACAGTCCCCCCTGGCAGCTGAAGCAAGAACTGGAGGCCATACAGCTGGGAACGGTGCCCAAGGACACAGGGCAGAGCCAGCATGGGAAGCCTTGTGGCCCCTGAAGCCCAGATCCGTGGTCGAGGGTGGTAGATGCCAGCGCCACAGCCCTGCCATGGATGCTTCTGGAAGCTGCACTGCCACCCACACTGCTTGCCATGGGGCCAGAACTTCTGTCACCCGCTTCTGACTGCCAAACAGAAGGTGACGTATCTGTGCCCTGACTGTACTGAATCATCTGCCGCTCAAGTGGTGAGGAAAAACGGTCTGCTCACTAACACCAGCAGGCCACAGGGTGATCTCGCAGCTCTAAAATGGAATGAAGTCAATGATACCAGTTAATGATGCGCACAGCTCCGCAATCTGCTAGCTGAAAGCTAGCTGGGATGTGCATCCAGGATCCTGTGGGAGACGGTGTTGGAGCTGAGCAGCTGCTGCTAGAGAATGGAAATCCGTGGAGACGTGCGCCTCAGGAAACCAAGGCTTTAAACTCCTCGCCAGCCAGCCCACTGCTCCTCCTTCACGTCCAACACCCTCCTCCAGTTATTTTGGCTACCAGCAGCTAAGACGGAATAATAGAAAAAGAGAGCCGGTGGGTGTTGCTTTCTGTTTTACTCTCTATTTTGAACATTACAAGAGTGTTTAAGACCATGATAGCTAATAATTACTAATCATTTGGAGTATATAAGCTTATTAACCATTTACTTTGGCTGAGGAGTTTTACATATTTGATACACAACTCAGTGCTCACAGGTATTTAAAATACTTACTGAAATCTTTGTGTCATTTTCTACTGAAAAAGGCCATGAGATACTGCAAACCTAAATAAACTGTCCAACACAGCACAGCTAGAGTGGCAGAGTGAAAAATTAAACCTTCATACTCTAACTACCTGGCCAGTGTTGCTCGACGCCAGCCTGTGCTGTGTGAAGGAGACTTCGGAATAAGATGCTCAGATTCAAGGACAGGCCAGTGCAGGCTGCTATCTCAGAAAGGGGCTTGCAAACCCCTGCCAGGCAGGCGCGTGGCCAGACTGGCTGTGAGCCTGTGTCGTTGAGGCTGCCGTGCCTTAATGATGGCGCCCCTCGTGTTTCTGGTTTGGGGACTGAATAACAAACATCTGGTGAAAGCCACTCATGCTTGCATTTCAAAGTCAATAAACAAAATTTCAGTGTTGAAATCAAGGCGATCCCAGGCCTGCTTTATCATGTCATATGTGAGAGTCAGCAACTCTATTTCAACATACTGTCAAAAGACATTGAACTACATATATAAGCTTATTTGTACATACAGGTTGAGCTATACACTGGGATTCCAGTGTCAGTTTTTGTATTTCTCCTGCAGATTTTCACAAAGGGAAAGCAACCACAGATATATTGTCTGACTTCCAACCACGATGGGCTCCAGGAGTGAGGCTGTTCCATCTCAACCACGGTCAATGAGTTCTGGGAGACCAAAGACATTCAGGCATGTGTGGGACTCCCAGCATGTCTGAGGAAAAATGAACTGCTTGAATTAAAAATATTTAAAAATTTACCATCATACTAGAAACTTAGAGCATATAACTCTTCATTGGAGGTGTAACACACAGTGTTGATGATTCTTTTTGAAAGAGAAAATAAATAACAATACATAAATGTAAACTTTCATAAGCCTTTTTTATAGATATATTTTATTTTATAACAATATTTTAATATTATGTTTTATAATCATATCCTTATGACCTATTATTTTCTAATGAATTCATAGCCTATTATTACAAATAACAGTATTAAAATTTGAACAGAATCTTGCTGATCTATCCCTTTCTGCCTGTAAACTTTACAAAAGCCTTTCGAGTATAATTTTATAAATCATGAATTAAATGTAGTTGTCTTAGTTACTTTTCTCCTGTGGGACAAAATACCTGACACCCAAAATGAAGGAAGGAAAGTTTATTTAGCTCACTGTTGTGGAGGTTTTGGTCCATAATCAGCTGGCTCCAAGTTAGGGTGGTGTGGCATAGGGGCAACACTTCAAGGGGAGAAAAAGGGGGAACAAGCCTCCTCTCCTCCCTTACACTATACACAGTACCGCCCCCACCCCCAGGGCAGGTGTAGCACTCACAAAATCCCTGTGTCCTCCTCTTGCACAGGCTGAGGATATTTACAAAGTAAGGATCCTGACTCCCTGCTGAGTCTCTCAGTTAAACTTCTAAACTTTTCAAGTTGTCATAATATGTCAAACATAACAATCCACCCTCTGTAAACTTGGCAACCAGATCTATTTCTTTAAACCATCCTCCATATAGGAAGGCACATACATTTTGCAGTTTTCACATTGTAACACAGCTTAACAATCCTTCAGAACCAGCATTGTCTACCAACATCTTACTTCATTAGAAAGATAATATTTTGTCCTTGGACCCACAAAGACTCATGCACATCCTTTTATGCAAAGGCATTTTCGCCATCTTCAAGAGTTGCCAAAGTCCTAACAGTTTCAGCATTGCTGAAAAGTGTAAGTCCCAAGTCTCTTCTAAGACGTAAGGCAAACTTTAGTTACATACCTTTGTACAAATTAAAGCAAAGTTGAACACTTCCAACATGCAATGACACAAGATAAACATTCCCGTTCCAAAAGATACAAATGGGAATGCAAAGAATTGGGACCAAAACAAGTCCAAAATCCATCAGCGCAAACATTAAGTCCTGTAGCTCCATGTGTACTACTTGAGGCAATATATGGCAAATTGTGAGCTCCAAAGGGCTTGTGTGCCTCCAGCCCCAGGGCACTTCCAGTGATTACCAGTCCCATGGCTTCTCTCTTAGGCTGGCTTTGCTCCCTCCTTGCAGCTCTCCGTAGATGATCCAAGTTCCTGGCTTTCCCAAACTTCTGGGTCTCCACTGCACCTTTGGCTTCACACTCCCAGCTTCACACACTGCCCTCTCAGGGGTGCACTGCTTGGCCTCCCAGGTTCTGTGAAATTGGGAGGGAAGATTTTTTCAACCTTAGAAGTCTTGCATTCTGTACACACCTAAAACCAGCACCTCCTGGATGCTGCCTATGTCTGCTGCCCGCTGGAGCAGTAGCCAGGCTTCCCTCTCTCCTGGCTGTGTGGACTGAGTGCCTGGATTGCTGGGTACCCTGAACCTGATTCTGAGGAGCAGATTCCCCGTGCTGCCTTCATGCTGGAACCTGGTGCGGCTGCGACCGCCGTTCTGGAAGATGCGGCTCTGCAGCTTTCGTCTCAAAGCAAAGTCTTTCACCTTTGCAGTTTTGAGGTTCGAGATTTGTTGCTTTCTGTGATGCTTTCAGGCCACCTTTCCTGTTTTACTGTTCCTTTTTAACAATGGAGACTTCCTCAGCTCTGTCTTTGCAGCCCACAGCTTACTGAACCTCCCTTTCTGACCAAGATCACAATGTTTTAAATCACTCTTCTGGGCTCTTTGCTCTTGATTTGCAACATAAATCTGGCTAAAATCCCCAGTAAAGCCATGCCACAGCCTCAACATTCAACTGCCTTGAAATTTCTTTTGCCAGATTAATTATTCCACTGTCCTTAATCTTAGTCTCAGGTAAAGTCTCTGGGCATGAGCAAAAGACAGATGAACTTCCTGCCAACCCATAACACATCATCTGGAGTCCAGCACCCAGTGCTATCCTTCCTAGCAGAAAGCTCCTGAGCCTGGTCTTTACTGGCAGGCCTTCCCTCAGCATTTGGCCTTCTGAGATCTGACCAGAATCTCCCATACAGAACATCCTCAGCTGTTTCAGGGCTACTCTGTCAGGCAACATCTCCAACCTTTCAAAATTCTTTCCACAAGCCAGTTCCAAAAGCTTTTGTATCACATGGCCAGGTATGGTCACAGCAATGACCCCACTCCACTGGTACCAAACTCTGTATTGGTTACTTTTCTCTCATTCCTGGGTCAAAATACCCACATCCAAAATGAAGGAAAGAAAGGTTTATTTAGCTTACTGTGGAGGCTTCAGTCCATAGTCAGGTGGCTCCAAGGCAGGGTGCCATGGCACTGGGGCAACAACCAGAGCAAAAAGGGGGAACAAGCCTTTTCTCCTCCCTTAGCTTGTGCACAGCACCCCCGCCAGGGCGGGTGTACCATTCACAAAATCTCTGTGCCCTCCTCTTGCACAGACTGAGAATATTTACAGAGTAAGGATCCTGGCTCCCTGCTGAGTCTCAGTGAAACTTCTAAATTTCTCAAGTTGACACAGTGTGTCTACCATAACAGTGGCATTAAAATTAATCTCTATCATTCATACAACATGTGATTATAATAATTGTATTTGTCTTTAAAAATTCAACTTATCAATTGTTTCAAGTAGTTCTTAGAGTCTACTGTATACAAGCCATAACCAACTTTAACTCTCTTTATATAAAAGCACTAGACTTGTAACATGAATAAACAGCTCATGTACATGAATGATTCTCATAGAAGGGCAAGGACATAACTGTGACTGGGTCACCAGAAGCCAGCAGGGCACAAGGGGCCTTGTCCTACCCGTGGTCATCACTGGGAACTCATGAGAAGCTGCTCGTGGCCCTGAGGCTGAGTTCATGTAGGTCACCAAGCCCATGTTGTTTGTCATTTTTACAATTTCTATTTTGATAGTCTTTGGGTTTGTTACATAAAATTGAGTCATGTTGATGAAGTGTCTGTCAAGAACTCAGAAAAAACTCAGGCTTGTTTTTACTAGAGAACAGATTTAAAGTTTGATTTCCATCAAAACACAAAACTGAAGCCAAAAGTGACAATATCCTTTGAAGAAGGAAATGACCTTGGTATTTCTACTCCTGGGACAAAATACCTGAGTCCAGTCTGATGGAGAGGAGGAGAGAGTAACCCCGCACCTCACTTGGAGAGCCGTAGTGCATGGTTGACAGCCCCAAGGAGGAATCGGGTGTGGGTGAGCAGGGCAAAGCAGGCTGGTGGCAGCCAGGAGCATGAAGGTGTCAGGGACAGAGGCGGCCAGGGCCTCACAGGCCCCTCTCATCCACTCAGGTGGGCCTCCTGGCCGCAGACAGAGTGACACACTGGTGGGGGCATTATGTGCATCACAACCCCGGACCCAGTGACCTTGCCAAAAGTCACCTCTGAACACAGACTTCTGGGACACTTTAGATCTAAGCCATAACAAGTTGCTTCACTGCATTTTATAATATGCTGTTTCCACATGAAATAAGCCATCAGCATTTCAATAGACAGAGCTCTCTGTTAGTACCACTAAATCTATATAGATTTCTAGCAATATATCAAATTATTGTAATGGTTGATTCAACTTCAATTGTAAGCCTTACTGACAAGGAAATTTAGAGTTCAATGACAGCCTTTCCTTCTCTCTCTCCTTCTCTTTCTGTTTTGCAATAAAACAAACATCTATATTTATTTTAAGCAAGTCATCTTCATAATTAATATACGTGTTAGTTCTGTGTTGAAGACTGAAGGCTCCTCAGTCAGTATTGTGTATCATCTGGTTATTAAAAACAGAGTGTTTTTACTGATTCACTCCTCATTGGTGGTTTGTTTTGCAATGCTGCCAATAATCCCAGCAAGAGAGAGCAGAGGGGAAGGGTGTGAAGCCTCATGGCAGGCAGGATCATGAGCTTGAGTCAGCAGGGCTTTGACTTTGCCAACAGCTGTGTGCATGTGTGTGCATGTGTGCATGAACAAATGTGTACAGGTGTGAACTGTGGAGAAGGCACACATAGCTGTGCATGCCACATTCCCAGGAAGGACATTCACTGGACTTGGTCCATCGAGCGAGAGAAGCAAGGCGGGTTAAACAAGAAGCCACAGACGTGGGGACACATTCTCGACCATAGAATGTAACTGTGTGGCTTGTTGCTAGAGTGGCTCACAAAAAGACAAGGTCAAATGACACTGAGAAGTGGCCTTACATGAAGAAATGCATCATCCGGGGGGGGGGGGGTTGGCTCACACCAGGCTAAAGGGCTCCTCAGAGGATGTGTGCATGTGTGAAACCTTCAAAAAAGCATGGGGAGAGAGAGAGCCCAGGGCCAGCTAGTTCAGGGCTGACTTTCTTCCACAGGCAGAGCGTATGGCAGATGGTCACAGTGCTTTCCAGAAGTGGACAGATGTGGACAGATGTGGAGGGGAGGCAAGGAGAGTGCTCCACAGTTGGTGCCATGTGGACACAAGCACTGTTTACACCCCTGCGTCAGCAGGGAGGCAAAGCTCTTGCCGAATAAGACCTTAAGGACATGTGTCTCTAAAACAGGGAAAGCTGGAGAGGGACAAGTGGGGCAGCTTTTCCATAAAGACTACAGCCGTCTTGATCTTGATAATGCACCTTCCTAACGACATGCAGTCCTTCGCCCTCACAGCATGTTCTTTGCAGAATAAACACACACGTGCATCCAGGAATCCTGCCTGCTGTCAACAGCACCTTCTGGCAAACAACAGAGCAGGGGCCAAACTGCCAGCACACATACCCTGCAGTGGATGGAATTCAGAGCAGAAACTCAGAAGTGGCAATAGCCAGCCTCCTCATTCCCACTCTTATCAAGGGACAGACCCTAGCATTTCTAACCCTAACGCAAGCCAAACCCGAACCCTAACCCTCTCAGGCCTCTGTCTTTGCCGCCTCCCACCATGCTCCCTGCTGCTGGCCCTGCGCTGAC